TAGCAGTACGAATAGAATATATCAAAATGAATGTTACAGATTTAAGTTTAAGGATTTACTTTTATCATTATATATATATACTTTTGAGGAGCACACTTTCAAAGTATGTTTTGTTCAAAATTTGTAATTTTCATAAAATGAGAAAGAAAGAAGCTGCGCACACAAGAAAATTACGCACTTTACAGAAAATAATATGCCAATCAATAGGATGTGAAATATGATAAACAAAATTACTAAACAATTGCTAAAAATGTTAAACAAATGCATTTTGTTCGTTTCCAGTTAAAAAACATAATGTATTTCGAAATGTCTATGTTTTTTCAGCAATAAATTAATGATGAAAAAAATGCTTTCTGAACATCTTAGAGTAGTTTATAATATGAGTTTTTTAACATTAAACTCTATGCCTCCTCTAACTAAAAAAATGAAATTTTGGACAAATGCATTTTACGATATGCAGCAGGCCTGTCAAATTTGAGCTCCGCAGCCAAAACGCAAAGCCATCGACGCAAAAAATTCAATGTGAGTAAGATTTCTTAGGGACTTGAAAGTGTTGATGCACATCTAAATGATGCTTATCAAAATTTTATAAGTTATATACTTCTAAAATCTTATTCACATTGAATTTTTTTACGTTGATGGTTTTGCGTTTTGGCTCCAGAGCTCAAATTGGACAGGCTTGATGTATACTATCAGTGCCCGGCGATGAAATGCGGTATAGCATGTTGCTTGGAAAGTCTACTCCTCTTTTACTTTATAAACAATATGATTAATGTCATTTGATTTTAGATTTTTCATTTCATACAGAATGATGATGAATTTTCAAAATTTTCAAGTACGAACAAATTATTTCGAACATGCGTTATTATAATGTTATTAATGTTATTATTAAAGATGTGATAAATTAATGTCACACATATACGCGAGAGTATAAAAATTTTTATTATTGTATTTCTTTGCTTTATAGACAGCTTATTAGACTTGCAGGATTGGTTGTTTTTATACAGCATATGCACATCGTACCACAGCTGCTACTACAATATCAGTGTCCGGCGATGAAATGTGGTATAGCATGTTGCTCGGAAATGCAAGTCCATATTGTTACTTTGGATTTACTTTTTCTTTGCTCTTTCAATGCTGATTACCTAGTTTAATATTTTTAGATTTATTTATGTCATCTCTATTTTCTAATAATACTGTTCTATTAATTTGCGTTATGCATTCCTCGAAATATATCAGGATAATTTCAGGATGATTATAAATTCCAAAATAACTGCGCAAACAAATAAATTGGTATTATCATTGAAAAATATAATTTAAGATTATAATTACAACGACTAAACTTATAAAGCATTTTTATTATTTTTTTTTGATATACAAATCTTGATATATTTTGAGCTGCAAGAATTATATGTTGAAAAATTACATTAGTACAATAAAGAATTGCAACGAGCGAGTATTTTTCTTGTTAAAAATTCCCATTTTGGATTAATAGAATTATTCTGCTTGCCTTTTCCGAAGGCATTAGAGTTATTAGTTACGTTACCTCTATCTCTGAGTCGTTTCCGTTTGCTCCAGCGTGATATTTCGCGAAGCTTGAGGTCTCATTGGTCGTCGTACGCCGGGGTTCGTTTGCAGGGATACCCAATATATAGCGACCAGTAAAAAGATCAGGATGATGGCAGAAACGAACATCCGTCTTGCTCCACAAGTGGACTTCATTGCAGCCGTTATGATAGGAGGACATGCCGGCAGGACTTGTTTTGATGGAGCGGATTTCTGCACTTGCGTCGCTCCATTATAGCTGCCGTTACACGGGCAATGCGTCCTTGTCAAACCCCACCCCATTTGGAATTTAGTAATTTTGACGATTTTCTGCCGAAAAGGGATGTAAGCCAAATTATGTTGAGGTTGAATCGAGCCGAAGTCAAGTCAGATTATCTCGGTCATGACAACTAACGATCGTCTGATCTTGCACATGATTGCCGGTCGATTTATACATACATACAATGTAATCGATAAACAAATTTAAAACACGCGTTTTTGTAGAATGCTTTAAATATTAATAATCGAATTATAAATTAAACATTTAAACTGTGTGAGACTTTTAAAATTAATTTGTACACGGAAAGAACGATTTTGCTGAAGTATTAAAAATTTTAATTAGATATAAATTTGAAAATAATTTTGTTGGATTATTAAAATAATTATATAGGGCTCAAGTTGCTAAAATACCAAAACTTTTTGCAGCATTGCTCTCATCATGCTTGAGTTTCCTACATAATTACTTTAATGGTCGAACGAAATTATTTTCAAATCTGTATCTATTTAAATTTTTAGATATTTGAGCAAGATTATTCTTTTTTAAATAAATATTAAAAAAGAAATTAATACGAACAAAATGTATATATATATATATATATATATATATTAAATTAATTAATATACATATATTAAATTAATATTTAAATTCAGTAGCATTATCTTTTTGTCTATATCCCGTATTGGATAATAAAACAATGAGGTCGTAATGATCTATATTTTGCCCTAGTTATACGATATCCTGATTTTACGGCACCTGGTATCGCGATTCGAGTAATTTTCTGTTTTGCCGCCGATCCATTTTATTAATGAGGCAGCATACAAACAAATACAAATGAGATTATTCCCATGCGCGATGCTATTCGCGCGTCAGGTGAACATATATCTGGGGTTGACCGCGCGCTGGGCGCGGAGAGATTTGGCGCTTCCGGACAGTCCGGATCGTCCGTTGCAGGAATGGATAGAGTTAGAAGTTGGAAATTATGTACATAGTTGACGACCCCCTTACGGCTTTGGCGTTCGTCTATCTCTGCGCTTACAGTACAGATGTTTGCGGCATGTTGATCGCAGTCATGCGGCCGCGCGTCCGTATAGAACAACAGCGTGCTTCTTACGCAGGCATAATACAATACATTCGGCTGCGATTATGTTTCCGCCCGAACAACTTACCCGGGTATGTCCAGTGCTTCGAATTCCCTCCAGTTTCATAACTGTCGAATATAAGGTCTAGATTGTTTGCCGGCATCGGTATTGCGTGTACTCTAATAAACTCTGCACGCCATATTCGTTCTTATCACTTTTGCTTTTCAATTGACGTCACGAATTCATGCGGTAGAAATTGATTGATATAGCGGTCTTCCCATAAAATCGTTGGAATTGCATACGATAACAATATATAAATTTTACAGATATTTCCTTTTAAAATAAAATTGCTTCGCGGAATTTTATGACACATCGTAATTGTAAATCATTTTATTTGCAAGGTACAAAAATAAATTGATATCAAACAAAATGTTTATACACGATCCAAAATGGAATTTTTACGCTTATACGATAATACGATACGTAGCAGGCGATTATTATGTTATTGTACGTTATATAACGTTATATTTTTGACATTTAATCACTTTTATGTTATTTAAAAATATTGAGATTACGTATTCGAGAAAGAGTACAGATTATTTAAAGCACATATCTACATGCACGACTGTTTTCACAGTGTGTTATTTTTTCAGAAGTCCTGAGTGAGTTGGCAAGAAAGCAGTAAAAACAGCTTGTCTGAGTAAAGACTAACTTAATGGTCGACAGTGATGTTCCAAGATTGGACCACCGACAAGGTTGACGATACTGCTCTCGTCTATTCTTCTCAGCTCCTCTTTTCTTAATTTCATACACGAAGTGAAAGGGTAAATATTCTCCCTGAAAGGGCCGCGCTCTTCGTAATGAAGCGGTCTCCACGGGAGCTGGCGAACGATCTAATTTTGTGAGTATTAACCGTACATCGGCCCTGGCGCGAATTAGCATTTATTAAAATTTTATCGATCTAGAAACTTAACGGCTTCGCGCGACCTAAATTTCGACCTGATGCAACGTTAAACGGAAATACATGAAAAATAAAACAGGACGCTCGATATTCGTCCCGCCGGAGCGTTGGTCGGTAGCGTCCTCGGCGCGGAATCTGGCTGAAAATTTTACGGAATCGTTAATCTTGGAAGACTCTTCCCCGTCAGTCGCTCTCGGAATATATGTATAACGTATGTGAATGCGCGCGTGACCGGCGAAATTATTATCTGGTATATCCCAACGAGGAATGTCGTTCGAAAAATTTCCAAACGCTCGCGTGTTTCTCACCCTTGGCCCACTAAATTTTTCACGCTTGCATACCAACATTATGTTCGAGGCGGACATTTTTTGCGGTCGAATGACTTTGTATTTCTGTGAAGAATGACTGTGAGTTTTACGATGACCGGCAGATATCCCGACACGATGATAATAATAAATAATAATAATAATTTTAATAAATGTATTATAAGTTTCAAGTTTGTAATTTTTTCCCATTTTTTTTTCATATAACGTAATAACGAATCTCCTCGTGAAACCAAGAATTAGAAATTACATAAAAAATATAGAATAAATTATATGTAAAGCGATCATGGCTACATATTTATAACATACATATAATATATTATAAATGTATATTATAATATATATTATAAATATGTATTATACATATTATTCATAATATACAATATTGAAAACAATATTAATTTAATTTATGTCCAAGCAGAATAAGTCACGTAGAGATAACATCAAAATGACGTTAAATGAAATCATTATTGATCGAAAAATAACTTTTAGTTATCATTTTGGAGCCATTTTGACATCATTTTGATTATGATGACTCGTATTCTACTTGGGTGACTTAAAAAAAAATAATCGCGATAATACAATAATTACCAAAACTGCCACCTCCGATTAGATTGGAGCATTAAAATATAAAATGTTACAATTATAAATATTAATTCGCTATTCTAAGATTAGATACCTATTGTACGGGATTATTTTTCTAATA